CGCTACCTACTAAATCCAAGCCATTCTCCGTCCCTCCTTCTTCCCCTCTCCTCTCTACCAGTTCAGTCTGCCTTGGGACCCGCTTTTCTAAGCTCGTAAAGTACTTTCCACTTATCTATTACAGAAGCTACTGCGTTACTGCATTTGACCATTTTCTTAACTCTCTGCCCCACTAAGGACTCTGTCTTACTCCTGATTGTATCTATGTGCCTAGTAGAGTGCCTGGCACAGAGCAATATTGAGTAATTGAATTTTTACCAGTCAAGTAGCATTAAACAAACTCAGTTCCCTCTCCTTGTTTACTCTGTCAATCATTATCACTTTCATCTTGGCTGGCAAGAGCTGTAATAAAACCCTAGGCCTATAATTTAAATGGACCAGTTGTGAAGGCCTTCAAACTTAGATATCTGCACCCAGTATGTACTCATGTGTTTAGTGAGGCTGACATTTTTATAGAAGAGGGAAGTGGATCACACAGTAAGTATGTGTTTGCTCATCTCAATACTCAAGCAACCTTTTCTTATTAATTTTTGGCAGCTGGCCAGTACAGGGATCAGCCCTGGACCTTGTTGTTATCAGCACCACTAACCAACTGAGCTAACTGGCCAGCCTCAAGCAGCCTTTTAATACATAAAGCTGATAAATCACTGAAAGGTTCTCTTTCATTCCAAAGAATAGATCTTCCTACAACTGATTCCCTGATAAAATCATTAATAAAAATAAGCAAGTTAGAAACATATGAGGGTACTTCAGAAAGTCTGTGGAAAAACTGAATTAAAAGATATTACAAATCCTTCTGTGAAATTTTTGAAGACCTTTCATATAGGTAGGATTTTTAAAAATCTGGTACACTAGGTAAAGCCCATTAAAATTAAGAATAAAAGGAATTAACTACTGTGTTTGATCATTTTAATCATTCACTTTGTATGTGTGTGTTTGTATAATTTAAATGTGGATTTTTTTATTCTTGAATAGAGATGGACTGGATTATCTCTTAGTGCCAGATTCTCCAGCAACATAGGTATATATTTCATTGGCATTAAGAAAGACTTAGTACCTTTATTTTTGTAATTGGAAATTCACTGAATACTTTGCAACTTGCCTCAAAGTGAAGATTATTTAGATTAATTCTTTTCGGGAAAAGTTTATACACTCTGCAAACATGATATGGTCATTTAAACAATCAACATATTATCATACATGGAATTATCTGGGGATGAGCTAGATGTGTTTACAGACAGCAGCACCTCTTTGACTAGGAAAATATCTGTCACGTCAGTGACTGGTAATAAAATGCTTTTCTGGATTAGCCCAGCTATATAGATGGGTCATGCTCTGTAGATTTAAAATGATGAGTATTATATTTTCCAAAACTGGAAATGTATTTAATCCTTTATTGGAAAAAAGATTTATGATCACCTTACTTGTCAAGAGGTGTTCTAAGAAATCATTTCTGCCACTTTATTACCTTGCGGTGTATTATTCAATTGTGCAAATTTTTGTGCAGTTCAGTGCAATCTGCAGATATTTTGTACTGTTAAAGAAATAATGCACCTCTTAACTAAAGACATTTTTTATTTTAAATGAATGAATTTCTTTTATGGAATAATGTATTCTCATTGAGTACAGTAGTAGTTTTCTCATGGCATGTTTTGTAAAAATCATATCTCTACCATCAAACACCTCCTGGGATGTGATTAAATGTAGCAATATTTTGTAGTTGATGAATAAAAGTGAATGTGGCATTAACCGAAACACACACACACATACGTTCTTTATGCAGTGATGTAACCTTATGTCTTCCAATTACTTCGTGATTAGAGGCCTTTAAAGATTTTGATATGATGTCATTTTTAATGTGTGTCAGTTATGTGTCCTTGCTTGTGAACACTATTTCTTAAACCTTGGTTGTCATGGTTACTCTTGCTACCATTGGCCAACTAACATTTAGCCTTTCTTTTTCCTTTTTTGCTGCATTAAAATGGAGCAGTAAACCTGACAGGTGAGGAAGAGAGAACAACCCCTTTAATGCTCAGTAGGAAAAAAATAAGATACTGGTAGACTTTGGAGGTGTCGCAGAGGTGAGGGTGGGGGCTAAATATAAAAGATTATACCTTGCAAGTGAAAGATGGACAAAGCCTACATGTATATAATAACTTAGATAGTAAAATGATTCTTGAGAAAATAAATATTAGTCTGTGTAAGAGAAAAAAGTAGATTATTTCTATTTAAAGCCAAATTTAGAAGGTAGTAAACACAGTCTCTGAGTTTTGTCTGTGGACAAGGTTAAATGAGCATTTGTATGTGTTAATGTGTCTATAGGGCAGGAATGTTAGGTGTCCCATAAGCCTTTTTGTTTTGTTTTGTTTGTTTTTTACTGAATATCAGCTTTCGAGTTTGATCAGAGATTGCCTCGTGATACAGGAATGCTCACATTTTCACACCTTGCAAATTTATTGCAGTGCCTCAGTGAAAACTCATACCTAATTCAAAATTATTATCTATGTCTTCCAGCCTTGAATAATAGTAGCAGTAATAATAATAATAATAGCTAAAAGAGACTGTTCAATTACTGAATGATTGCTCCAAACTAATCTTCTAACTTTCTAACTATTTATATACATAAATATACATTCCTGATTAAAATTAAACTAAGACTAGAATCTCAAAGATCATCTGCCTTCCTCCCCATGTCATATTCTAGTAGTTCTCAACAAGTGGTTCCTGGAGTAACAGCAGCAGCAGCATCACCTGGGAACTTGAAAGAAAACAAATTCTTGGGCTACACCCCAGAAGTACTGACTCAGAAATTCTAGGTGCTGATCCAGCAGCCTGTTTTATAACAAGCCCTCCTAGATGAACAAGCTAAAGTTTGGGAACCACGGCTGCTTTTTTTTCTCCAAAGTCACTTTACATTGGTCAGAAAGCCATACGTTCAGTGATAGGAATTGTAAAACCTTTTTGTGGACATCCCTACTTGGCATTAATCCATCAGAAAAACACATGCAAAATTTTTTTTCAGCCAACGATGAAACACTTTGAACGCCCTTATTATACTCGAGAGATCTCCCTTCCGTTATAACACTGTCCACATTTTACAACTTAATCACTGCCTTCTTGTTCTAAGATGAGAGAGTTGGACCCAAAGGGCCAAAACTTAGACATCATCTTCTAATCCTCCTCTAATTTATAAGCGAAGATATTGAGAAGGTTTATTGTTGACACACAGCACCAGAGTTGGGGTTACATTCTTAGTGGTATCAGAATCGTGAAGTGTTTGAACTGATTTCTTTGAATGTTAATAGTAGAGATTTCAAATAAGTACTTCATTCTTTCAAAAGCCCATGCCCCTATGTCTGAATATCTTTGTTCCAAGACCATAAATATGATCTTCCACACAACCTCTCTTTGTTCTTGCTTCTCTCCTAGATGAGAGCCAGGTAAAAGTGCAAATAAAACACCGCTTAGACCACGGAGTAGCATTTTGGTTGACATTACCCACATCCCAGACAACCGCGTTTTTATACTATTAGCAGTTGCTGCCAGATCAGAGATGTCATGTGATCTTCCATTTCCTTTTCACCCACATATCTTCTGCGCATCGTATGTTCTTCTTACCAGGAGAAATAAACCTGCACTTGGGTTTTATAATCTTAACAGAGAAAACAAATAGCAAGGCAAAATTCAGAATCTGTTTCTAATCACAATTCTTTGTATTGTTCTAATTGAAAACCAGAATGATGAGATCTCTGAAAAGTTAAGAAAACTGTTACTTCTTATGTTTATTTTGGCCTGATTTAGACCATTATATGTATTTTAATATATTACGATAGTAAATTCAGTTTTTCAAAGCTCTTTACCATTACTCCAATGATGACCAAACTTTTCATCCTCCAAATCTTTCTTAGAAATCCCTTCTGTGTTAGAAACAACCATTCTAGCACATAAGTGTTTAAAAATAACATGATAAGAATGTAGGCAGCCAGAGTTATCCACATAGTGATCATCAAAACAAAACTAAGCAAAACAAATTTAAACAACCGGTTTTCTATCTGGCCAGGAATTTGGGAGTCCACGGTGTTCTGGGTCATTTAGTTAGAACAGATAGTGAGGGAGAAGTTGGTTATTAAATGTCAGAATGGGTCCTCCCGGTTCCATCACAATTATGAATAGTAATTTTAATCTCATTCTCTGGGTTTTCTGAGCCTCATTTCTTGGCAAAAAAGATGTGATTTCTGACTTTCCTAATATTACAGCAATCGGCAACATTTCTTTAGAGAATATTCTTTTTTATCCCTCCTACTAAGTGTCACTCAGCCTGACTTTAGGGAAAAAGAAGAT